GTGCATTTAATTTATATTGTTATAGACTATAAATGCTTCAACTCGAAGAATCAATCAAAATACATTCAAATTTTAAATCAAAAAGAAAAATTCAAATTTTCATAATCAATTTTGAGAGATCTGTAATTGATATCAACGTGATTGAAAAAATACCATGATGGTAAAGCTTTTGTGAGCTGTACGTATCCATGGCTTTCATAGACAGAAAAAATATATTCATGAATTTGGTAATATTCATGACAGATGAAAACTATTTTGCTCTTGTTCAGCATGCTGGGTGATTCAAATAACATAATTAGTCATGGTTGGTTCTTCTAATCTTCTATTCCTGAAACTCCATAATTCCATTCAGATTATTGGGACACTTTGGGACATTGGCCTGAACGACTAACAAGTCCCAAATTCTAAGTTTGTTGTTCTACACACAAAAAATAAATTCAAAGCTAACAATATAGCACAGATGCACTACGAGTTGTTAGTAATTTCAATTCATTGCATTTTGGTTGTAAAAGGTATAAATAGATGGAGGAAATATTCGTATAGGAGACACACAATGCATCAACAGTATATGCTTTTTAGCAACTTTATTGTTGGCGATAAAATATTTAGGGCCTTCCTTTTAACTTTAGGTCATATGATAATGGGGCCAACTCTCACTCGTCCTAGATTCATTCTTAATTTTAGGCTCACATAGCCATATTAGACCACACTTGTTACACATGAGATACCAACCAAAAGTTTGTACATAAATATCTTTTAACTGTAAGGTGTAATTATGTCATAATCTAACATAAAAAAATTAATTATTTAGTTTAAAATAATGCATGATCAATTTATATATAATTAAACTATACGTAAATTTTCAATAAATCAAATTGTAAAATATAATTTCATGGTTTATCATAATAAGAAAAAGAATTAAATTAACAATAGAAATAACAATTAAAATTAAAATACAAGTAAATTAGAAAACAATAAAAATGTAACGTTATTTTACTTAAATAATTTGTTAAATTTAGAAACTAAATCGTAATAAAAAATTAACAATGCAATTTTATAATTTATAAACTTGAAATAACTATAAAATACTATATCTTATAAAAGTTATATGATTATATTATTAGATTAAGGAGAAAAGTGATAAAAGCCAAATAGTAATTCCTACCTGATAATAATAAAATATTTTATAATAAAAAATACTGTAAAATAATTTATTAAAAGTTTATACTATATCTCATGAATTATTTAATTTAATTTATATTTTAATTAATTAATAAAATTAATGTGCTTTTGTATTTATTGTTCAAGCGATAATAGATAAAAAAATATTAATTAGAAATAATATGATCTTTTTACATACATAAAAAGTTTTTTATAACTCGAAAAAATTAGATTTTCATTTCTCATGAAAATATTTTTGTGTAAAAATGAGATAAAAATAATTCATCAGAAATTATGTTTTCTGAGAATCTTTTATTTTCAAATAATTATTAAATATAGAAAATCAAGATTCTCGGTTTAAGATTTTTTAAAAAGTTAAAAAAAAATCCAAACACGAATAATTTTCTATATTATTACACAATCTTTTTATATCACAATCATCATTATTTCGAAATGAGTATTCTAAAAGAAAAATGACGGGTGCAGAATCTAAAAAGAAGGGTGAAAGAAGCAAAGCCCCCGTGCAAGCATCACATAAATTTTGGATTTGTACACATGGCATAGGATCCAAGTCAGCAATCAATTTGGGTTTTTTGAATGCTTTGATCTTCAAAAACAAACTCCAATTGTTCTTGTATCTTGGGTGGAGGGCCAAAAGGCAACTGTATAATCTTTGCTGTTCTCTGTATGCTTACTGGGTTTCGGGCATTATTTTGCTTTGTATTGTCATGAAGAACTTTTTTTTTCCTCATCTTCAGAATCATGAGAGTAATCACATGGGGGTGAAGGTGGAGTTTAAGATGGTGGAGAATTAAAATTTGATACGTTGAGCATCAAAGTGCATTGAAGAGTAGTTGCTTGGAAAAGAGTTGGGGTACATGTAGAATTTTAGTTTTTTAGAGGTGAATATATAAATTTCAATAATTTGGATCCAACCTCTGATAACATGGAAAGTCAAAGTCCTAGTTGGTAGGTAAGTTTAAAACTTCCCACCTTAGAATGACCCTAACATTCCACAAGTGGGCTTTCAATTTGAAGGCCTCAATGCTTAGGTTAGGTTTGGATGCATATGTCAAAAACTCTCCTTATTCTCCGCAAGGCATCTAAGGTTAGCCCAAACAAAAGGCTCTAGTGGGAAGTGAGACTAGCACTAGCCCTATTGTCTCCCCACGTTTGTGTTATCTGACAATCCTAGGAATGTGAGTGCATCATGCACGATTTGCCTTAAAAATTAAGACTTTGCTTCTTTCATCCATTTTTTGATCTTACCCTAATTATTATTTTTAACACCTTCCAAAACAATGATGATGAGTGCATATATAATATAAAAAGATGGTGCAATAAACAATTCTCCTCACACAATCATATCCCATTATATTGTGTAATCACATGTTGATGTATGAGGCTAAAATATCATATGTAATTATAAATTAAACTATTTTTTTTTCTATATGTTAACAATCTTTTTTTTTCTTCTCTTTATTTAAATAGAATTGTATTTCTCATACTAGAAATAACATAAACGCCAAATCCCCTTCCCCCACTACTATCATCACCTTGATCAATGAATATTTTATTATAACACATACTTATCAAAACACAAGCACCAAGCTAGGGTCTCGTATTAACACATAACTGCTAAAAATTACAAAGTGCTAGGCTAAGACTTAATTAGAATTACAATTAATACACAACAAAAATGATAATTAGAATCTAGAGGTTCTATGATCCACGAGCCAAGTAGTATCAACACATTTGGTATTAATTAATTCTTTTGACTCATGACCCACCACATTGATCTTCTCTTTCTCTAGTTGATTGATTAATTGTTGTAACACCTTCAAATACTTTTTCATCATATGATCGAGTATCATCCTTCTTGAAAGTCTGAGCTTTTCGTATAATTCTTTAGACGTTTCATATAAGTAAACATGTTTCTCATCAAGTTCATTGTCGTTTGTATCAGAACTTTTAATCAAAGGTGCAGGGACAATATGCATGATCCTACCTGGAGGATAAAGATGTCTATCCAAGGTCTTTGGTGTTGTGACTGTACCAACACTTTCTTCATAGTGAACAACCTTGTTGATCTCTTCAACGGTGTCTTTGGTTGTGCTTGTTTCTTTTTCCTTAGCATGAATGCTAGGGATATCATCACGTGCCTCTAGTTCAAGCTCCTTCAATTTCTTCAACAATTCATCGATAGAGATACTGCAATTAGTGGGAGTAGTAATGTTTTGAGTAGAAGATGTGATTTGTTTCTCTTCATCCGTGTCATCATGGTCAGATTCTTCATTAAATGAATTACATTCGTCCTCATCATCACTTGTAGACTCAGGAATCAACTCTTGAGTCAAAAGAGATTCATAATATGGCTTGGATGATTGAGAAGTTTCATCAAGATTCTCAGATTTTGATTGTGGCATTGTGAGAGTCTTCTCACGCCGAGTCCAGAGAAACCACGATGGAGTTCTTTGTTTATTCTTCAACCCAACCTTTAAATTAATTTAAAATATCTCTATGTAAGATAATGAAAAGATATATATTATATGAGAAATTCATATGCAAATAGGAGACATATAAGCATTTGTCAAGATCAATGGATCAATACATTGTTCCTCATATTATTATGTGTAAAATAAATGCAAGAGAAAACACTTTAGTGAATACAATTATTGTCAAATGTAAACAAGGGAACTTGAAACTACCTTAGTGTCACGGGTTACCAAACGAGACCCAAATGCATTGATAGAGCGACGAGTATCCTTTAGGAAAATTTTACGCTTATTTCGACCTTGTAACTCATGCAATCAATATTATGCATTGCCCTAATGAAAGTTAACTTGAGCAAAGATCAAACCATTTTTTAACGGATAATGTTATATAAAAAATTATTTAGCAATTAACATAAATTCATATTTGCCAAAGTCACGATAGATTGGGAGAACTAGATTAGGCACCTCGGAAATGAAATCATGAATAGAAGAAGCTGACAGTGTAGGCACTATGTCACAACCATTTATAATGGAAGTGATAAAGGGCTTTCCAAATTCAGCTAACTCCGATGTCATGCAGGCAGCTGTAAAGATTATAATTAACAAAGACTTAACAATAACGATTATTACAAGACAGACAAATTTCAGGAAAGGATCATTTCATACATATGATATGTCCGCTTGAAATCTTGTACCTATCTCTTTTTTAAATTTTAATAAATACTATTAAGTAAGCTTCACTTATTTTGCATTACTAGATAAAAAATTTATATTAACTCTCATTGTTATTACTAGAAAATTTGAGACATTTCGTATCTCTAATAATTACATAAATAAATATTAAAAATTACAGATAATTATTCAAAAAAGATATAAAAAGATTTTTTTTTATTCTAAGGGGTATAATAGTTTACTAAAAAATAAAAATTAAAAAGGTAATAATTACTAAAATATATCTTTTATAATAAGTATAAATAAAATGTATTTTTTTAACTATATTATTAATATGAAATATTTGGTTGTATTATTTCATTATTTCAGTATTTTAAATGAGAATAGCATATCATGGTTGAAATAACTTCTTTTCATTTTTTTTTCTTTCAACACTTATTCATTCAATGTCGTATCTGCATAATAACGCACTATTCTACATGTGGTTAACACTAATTATAGTACAAAGCCTATTGAATTAATTAGTTACTACTGAATCGAACAAATTAGAACTTTAGGTGTAATTAAATTAAAGAAGTTATTATAGTTTTAAGTACATGCCTGGGCCAAACGTGACACAAGTGCATGAAGAGAGCTCTTTTATTTCTCTAAGCTTATATGTCAACAGTGCAGGGGTGCCACCACCAAGTGCCCCACGATCTATGAAAAGATAATATTATATGTGGCATTACAAGGGTGCATTAATTAAAATCAATGAACGTAAATTCTTCCAAAAGAGTTTGGCAGTATAATTAACAGGGTGACAATTAATACCTTGATTTGGAAACCAGGGTATTGACGAAGAGCATCTTGTAATATATGGGTGCAGCGCTTTCTAATCCAATCTGCTGCAGAAACCATACCACGGTGTGCATGTCCTGAAATAGTGTTCCTTCTCACCTCACCATCACTGCAAATGAATTTATGTTCGAAGGAAACGGAAGCACCCATTGCATCTGTCAGCGTGTCTGTTAAACTACAAGTTCCACGGATGAACACCAACAAACATTTTGCTTCTTTATCAAGTATAACTGTCAAAGCTGGCTTTAGAATCTGATAAAAATTCATTTCAAGTTAAACATCTTGTTGCTTATAAAAGGATGACTGAAATAAAAAAAAAAAAATATCATATAGTGACCATATCCCCTATAATGATACAATAGTTGTTACTAAAGCTTATTTTTACCTATATTATAGATGTAATATATATTAATATATTATTAAAAAATATAGGTAAAGACTATAGTAATATACAATATATATTATTGAATCTCATTTAAAATCAATACTAAAATTATGTGTAATTATATGATAAATAAATTTATATCTACATATATCGTATCTAGGAGAGGGTAGATGGACTTGGATTCGCAAACCGATTCGTAAGCTCGCAGACTTCGCAGATAATAGATTCATTTTTTTTCAAATTTGTATGATTATGTTTAATTTTTTAGTTCGGTTTAAGAAGTCCGCGCACTTAACGAATTTAATTTGCAGGTTCGCGAGCTAATCCGCTTACTTCATTAATTAATGTTTTTAGATATTAAGACTTTAATATTAAGTTGTGTACACTACTAGAATTTCTCTTATTACATGTCACTTTTCCTGCGAATTTTTCATAAAAATTCGCAGGAAATGTTGTTCTTGCAAATTTTTCTGTGAATTTTTATCTACAGGTAATACCTTCGTGGATAATATATTTTTGCAAATTTTAAAATTCGCAGGAAATTTTCCTGCGAAATTTCTTGCAAAAGAAATTTCGCAGGAAAATTTGCAGGAAAGTTTCCTGCAAATTTTTTCGCAAGAAATTTTGCAGGAATATTTTTTACGAAAAAAATTAAAGAAATTACTATAAATTCTATCAATAATTTTTCAACTTTCAAATGCTCACAATGAATTTATCCGAAGCATTTGTTTCCATGTCTCCAACATGTAATACATAATCTTTAAATTCTAAGATTGTAGATTATAAGTCTAACACTCAACCATACAAATCAACTTGTAAGGTAATTAAGTGTTGTTCCAACTTATATACTCTTTAATTTCTTTATTTTCGATCGATGTGAGACTTGAAGTTTTTTTAAAATATTAAACTTATAAATTTAAATATTTTTTTTTTATTTTTCCTGCGGATTAAAATTTGTAGGAAAATTCGCAGGAAAAGTTACTTGCAATTTTTTTTTACCATTTAATAAACATTACTTGCGAATTTATTTTTGCAAGAAAATCTGTAAGAAAAAAAAATTCTTACAATATTTTCTGTAAATTTTTACCATGGAAAAAAAATTCTATAATTATTAAAATTGTAGCAAAATTTGTAAGAAGTATCTGTAAATTATTTTTCGCAAATAAATTCGCAAAAAATTTCTGAAAATATTTTTTCGCAGGAAAATTCGCAAAAAATTTCTGCGAATATTTTTTTGCAAGAAAATGATACTTTTCTAGTAGTGGTATTTAATCTTTTAAATTATTATAACTTCAAAATTATGTTTAATTGGTATGTATTTGTCATTTGAATTATTTTTTTGATATTTTAATGATTTTATATATTATTGAAAGTTTGGTACTATTATATAAATATTTGTAATTATTTTTATTTTAACATTTTAATATTTATTATTTTAAATTTTAGTGTGATAAAATTTAGCTTATAAATAAAAAAATACTTTTTTCTTCTAATTTTATGTATTTTTATTTTAAAAAAAAAATTTGAATCGACCGATCTGTTATCCGTGAATTTTGACGGATTGGATACGAACTTAAAAAATAAGTCCATTTATTTTATGGGTTAGATTTTATCCGGTTTGTATAAAATGTAGATTTTACGAACTGACATGGACATTAAACGTGTCAAACTGTTCTGTGTATCCATCCCTAACTATATCTATATCGACACTTTTTATATATTATGTAATAGTATTTTTGGGTAGCGGAAGTAAAATTGTAAGAAGTAACGTACCCGAGTTCTTCTCTTCCTTAGGAGAACATCCTCATTGACAAAGCCAGCAGCAAATAATTTGGCACGAAAGCGTTTTTTGCTGACAAGCATGGTTCGTGTCAAGCATCTTTTGATCTCATATAAGTCCTTTAACATTTCGGGGTCTTTCAGTTGTACACAATCACTTCTTTGGCCACATTCCATTGCAACTGTTTTCTTACCCTGCGATGCTTGCACGTAAATATATTATATATAGAGAATAAGAAGAAGAATTGAATAAAGAAGTTATTGGAAATGCATGGACCTTATCGATGAGAGCTGTATAAATGAGGGCTCTGGGAGGGTCTAAGACGGGCCACTTGCCGAGTGTCTCAGCGTAACAGAATCTGACGGCTTCTGCTAAGGAGAGAACTATGTCCTTAAAATCATTGGGTGCCTCAGCTGGTCTCCGTTTAAGGTTAGAGGCAGCCTTCTCAACCACTTTCCGCAAAATACAACGCTTCTTTTTATTCTTCCCCGCCATTCTCCAACCCTATATAGATCAAGCTCCAAAAATGGCAGAGGAAACAACCTACAAAAGCCAAGGAGAGAGTGTGACTTTATAGGACATCATAAGCTTTGGTTTTTCACTAAGCTTGAATATATATACAAGACAAAACTTAAGACATAGTTCTCCTTCTACCGCAGGTAACTTCCACTCGATTGCCTCGTAGGCTACTAGGGTCATTAAAGATTTATAAGAAAGATTTCATCTGTAACATAAAAAATAAAAAATAAAAAGTTTTAAACTAATATATTTAAAATAAAATTTTAATGGTTATTATACCGGATATAGATAAGACCAAAGTACCATAAGAGAAAATAGGAGAATCCTCAAAATAGATATTTTACGGAGTGCGCAGTTTACAAGAGTCTAAATCACTCTACACATACTAAGATTATTGGATCCTAATGGGCTTGGTTGTGGGCCTAAATCCATTAAGGTTAGTATAAATAAGTGTAATCAGCGATTGATAAAAATACGTTTTCATAATTACCAATTTGATTAGCATTGATATCTCTGAGACCGATCCACTTTATTTTCCCCAGGATACATCATGGAAAACAAAGAACCCGCAGGAGTAGCAAAATTACCAAAGTACCATCGTGCAGGTACAGTTATATTAGGTGTGAAATTCACCTCATAACAACCCATAATGATAAGTAACATTAAAAAGAGAAGATTTTGATTAGAATATTATAAATAAAAAATAATGTGATTAAAAATAATTTAATAAACATAGTGGATCAATTCTTTTTAATATAAATATTAACTATCAATAAAATTGATAAATAATTTATGATCATAATAAGATTAAAAAGTGAACGGTAACAACAAAAATAGTAAAATACATGACGAAAACTGTATCTAAATTGTCCAGTTTCAGCAACTTCATCACTTCTATGTTGAGAAATGAGAGAGTGGAGAGTGTGCTCTACGGTATGGCCTTGCAAGAGAGGCGGCGGGGTTAGGAGGTGGCGTCTGCGGTGGTGCTCGGAGGTGGCGTGACGGTGGCAGAACGGGAACAGAACTTGGAGCAACTGAAGGGAGACGAGAGAAGAGCAATGATATCCCTAAATCATTTCAGAAAAAAAACATTCATAAATTAAATTATTATTTTTTTAAAAAAAATATAATGTACCATAATAACTATTTAAAAATTATTATTAAAAATATACATGAAAATTTACTCAATCTATTAATAATAGTGTACTTTTCTTACATATATTAAGAAAAATTAATAAATAAATGAAAGAAAATAATGATTTCAATTACAAAGTTAATCTTATTTTTAATTTTTTATTTAATTAAAAATAATATAACACACTAATTTTATAAAATAATATTATTAATAATATAAATAAAAATATACTATTATAATAAAAAAAATTAATTATATTAAAAGATTAAAATGACACTTATTATGATTTAGAGAGAATAATTAATAATGAGTTAATCACCTATATACACTATCAGTGTAAAGTTTTTTTACACTGACAACCAATCATATCTTTTAATAGTACCATGTCATTTACTTATTTAATTAAATAAAAATAAAATAAAATAATTTAAAAATTATGATTAGTTGTCAATGTAAAAAACTTTACACCGATAATGTATGGATGATTAACTCATTAATTATGTATAATAAAAATTAAAATAATCCTTATTTTAAAACTTCTAATTTTTTTACCACAAAAAAATATCATGAGACATAAAATTATATAAAGAAAGTGTGCAGGGAAGCTGATAATTATTATGATCAGTTGATCCCTGTGCACCAGAGTAGAGATTTTAATTTTTAGGATGTCCCTATCGATATGTATGGACATATCAGAAGATATGGTACACATTATCAATCTTACAATTTGTTTTTGATAATTCAACCATACAAATATCACTTATTTTTTAATTATCTATCTTACTCATCACATAAATATATAAATGAGATGAATTATTGGTGAATTATTTAAGTTTTCTAAATATTCGATTGAATTTAGTTATTTAATTAAACAAGCTAAGCAATGTTAGAAAAACATATTAAAATTAATTACTTTTGCAGTGAAAATTTTATGTAATTTATATAATTTTTTAAATTCAAATCTCATTACTACTATTATGTACTAAAAAAAAACTACAATAAATTTAACTTTTTTGATTTGATCAAAACATGCATCCAACCAATATATATGATCAATCATTCACGGGTACTAATAAAAGATAAAAATGTCAAAGCAGATAAAAAGGCCAAGATTGAATTGGGATAAACACCCAGGTCCCATCATTCACATCAGAGACAACTAACAAATAGATAGGATAAATTTTTTAATCAGGTTACAATGTATTTAATAAAAATAATTTATTAATTTATTTGATAAATTTATATATTTATTATTCATTTAATAAAATTTATTCAATCTATTTATTAATATTATTTTAAAAGTTTAATGGATATGCATTGAATCATTAATAATTTATTAAGAATTATGTAAAAAAACATACATCATTAATTAATTAAAATTTATTTTAATATTCTTTTTAAAATAATAATTATTAAATTCAATAAATTTATTATGGATAATAATTTTTATTAAATAATAATGTAAAAAAATTATGCATGGTTATCGATGTACATATTATATTTTTATTTTTTGATGAAAGAATATTTAAGCATTATGATAATATTTAAAAGTTAAATATTTTTTTATTTCTATTTTTCCTCTCTTTCTTTTTGATAATACAAGGGATTTAAAATCGGAAACTAAGACCGGTAACATTTTTGTCGATGAAAATAATAGTGTCTCAAATCTTATAATTAATGAGTAATACAAATTTATAATACATAATTTTCATTATTCAAATATTATTTTAACATAAATGGTAAGTAAATATGGGAGTACTAGGTTGATCCTTAAGTCCTAAGATAGTTCTTATAATTACTAGGTTAAGAGACTTGATAGTATGAGAATTATTATAAAATTAAGAATTTTATTTTTTATTTAATTTATTATAAACTCTAAGAAAAAAGTTTCAAATAAACTTATATTTTATTTTGGATAAGTTTAAATACTAGGAAAAACTTTATTTATGGAGCATAATACGATCTAATGACATAAGTTAACTTGATATCATATCTTAATTTAAAACCTTAAGATATTATATTTATGAGTTTTTCTTACTTATAAATTATTCAACATATTTATTTTTATCCAATTTATTTAGGATTTAGACTTTTTATACAATTATAACCTTCAACTCTAAATCTAGGGCTTAAGGTTTATGGTTTATGTAACGTAGTTAGTAGACTGGAACGGGGCGTTCCTAAATTGGAACGGGTCGTTCCAAACTACTAAAATAAGGGTGATTTAGTAGCCCAGAACGGGCCATTCCAAACTACTAAATAGGCGTATGAATCTTGCACTGGAACGGGCCGTTCCAAAATGGTCATTGTGATTTAAATTTCACTCCAAAACGGGTTGTTGTGATTTTAGAACGGGTCGTTCTAAACGTGCTAGAACGGGCCATTTTGGTTTCAGAACGGGCCGTTCTACACATGTGAATTTTACATATAATGAATGAGCCCAAAATGGGTCGTTCCGGATTTGAAACGGGCCGTTCTGGCCAGTTCAGACTTCTATAAATGGAGGTTGTGGGCAGTTGAGGAAAATGGAGGTTTTTAGAGAGAAGTTTTAGAGAGAATGACTCTGGATTAGGAAGTTTGCTTTAGGTGGATTGAAGTCCCGGGTTGAGCTTCGGAAAGGGAATTCCGCTTCTTCTTAATTCTTGGAAGAAGAACATCAAATCCCGTTAAGAAATCCAGTAATTTAGCTAATTAAGAAAGATCATTGCATTAAAAAATTATTTTGTTACAATTTTTTGGTCAACGTCAATGTATACATGTATGTGTTATTAACCTTAACTCTGTAATTTGAGACAACGATTCTTAATATTGATTAATGAAAAAATTTTATTTAGCTTAAAAAAATTTATCTCAATAATAAGATGAAATGACCGAACGAACTTGTTGGAGTAAGCGTCTTCTCTGTTAGACTTTACCTATTAGCAAGGGCTGGACTAAATCTGTTAGCTCTTTTTTGGTAGCTGTCCAGTATAGTTCACACATTAATTATATCTTACTATGTTTCTTCTTGTAATTTTGGGTTTGTGGCACCCCACTGCCACATATTCAATATATTATTGTGTGGTCAAGAAAAAAAACGAGTAAAAGACAAAAAGTTGACTAAACATGATTATTCCCACAACTTAAAAACAACGCAATGCAATTGGATTCCGAGGTTGTGGTTGTATATCAAATGATTGGGTATATTATCAATAATTTGCCATTAATAATCCCATCGTTTAACTATACAGTGGTGGAGTATATACTTTAAATGATTCTACACATATACATGATATAAAAATGAGTTTAATTATCCATGAATTATTTAAGTTAATTAAATTTTCGGTTGAACTGATTTATTTAACTAAATAAATAGGTAAGAATTGAAGAAAATTATGCTTAATTATTTAAATAAATCAAATCCAAATTATTTAATTTTCTTAACACTTTAATAATTCACGAATATAGTTTATATATGTATTATAATTCTATTTTAATATATTTATTTAAAAACCATAATTTTATTTATTATCATTATATATATATATATATATATATATCGTTTACTTAATTTTAATTTATAAAAATCATATTTTTAGTTAGTGATTAACAAAATATTCTCAAATGATAGCGTCCCTTCTTTGTAAATTAATGCTTAGATACAACACGTACAACAATTCAAAATTAATTGTTCTTTAACACTTGTGAACTATTACAATTTTATTCTAAGTGTGAGAGTTGGATTAAAGGAGGAAAGTGTTTATAAATTATTTTTGACATTAATCTTAAATAATGTAATTTTTTTATAATTTTGTTAACACAAATAATCTATTTAAGGTTAAGATATGTCATCTTCTAGCATTAGTCTTTCGACCTCAAACTTGTTGATGTAACGACCCGCCATGATCGTCACACTGCGAATAACCTTACACACTACTGAAATATATATATTAAAAGAGTATAATAAAATATTTTTATAACACAAGTTGCTAATCAAGAAACCAATAACAACCAATTATATACAATAAAATATGTTACTATAAGGTAACCTACAAAAAAATCTATCTCCAGGCACCTCCTGTGACCTCTAGCAGCTATCTCCAGTCTATCCCTGCCCTGCTCCCATACAACGTATGATCATCGCAGTCCAAACCTCATGGAAACATGCAAGGGGTAAGCTAGAGATAATAAACAACTCATAATAATTTAATCTGCAACATAACAACTATAAAATTATCTTCGCATTCGACACATGAGACAAACAACATATATATTATACATCTTAACATCATTTCAACTTACAACATAACAACACTATCATTATCCTCAACAAGGTCAACATACAACACAATCACAGCTTAACAACACAACAACGAATATACAACTCATATCAACAACAAATCAACTCATCAACAACTTATGCGTCGTCACGCATTTCGACTCGGAGATCTCCTACAACATGGTAAGTAGTCTAAGTGGTTAGGTCCTACCGAACCGACAACACAGCAAATTGGATATCAATCCACAACACGATAATGGTTTCTCAGACCTTGCCACTTAAACAAGGAAGTATAGTACTCGGTTAGGAACTAAGTTCCTGACTTCGTACTTTACTCAAATTGGCCACTTGTAATCGGTATAGGTCGACCTGACCCCTATACCGTGGTCGCTTTATAATCGGTATACCTCGACCTTGCCCCTATACCGTGGTCGCTTTGTACACGTGTGCCTCGACCTTGCCCACACACGAGATCAACTAAGTCCTAGAGGAGAACAACACAACGACCACTCCAAGGGACAACTTTCCAAGGAGGGTTTTTCAACAAATTGGGCTCTCAGAGCACCACAGCTATCTCAATCCACACAATGGGATGAGCAACTTCGAAAACATCTCCCCTAGTCCTAGTGATCAACAACTTATCATAACAGCTTAATCAGGTTACAACTCAACAACACAGTTTTACAGCAATAAGCAACTTAACAACTTTACAACAATAAGCAAATATAGTCATCAATCTCAACTTTAACAACTTTAAACAACATAGCAACTTTTGAACTCATCATCTTAATCAACTTTCAACTTAAACAACATGGTATATCAGCACAACAACTCATCAACGTTATTTAACAACACATTTTAACAACACAACAACTCATTTCAACTTTAAACAACACAATATTAGCTCAACTCATAATTTACAACTCAATCATCATAAAGTAATCTCTTTTCAACACATGACACAACATATAATTTTATAGTAACATACAACTCTCTTCTAACAACTTAACAATATTATCATCATGCACTTCACAACATATACATGTCCACACATAACATATAACAACTTTATCAACTTAATTTCAACTAGCTTCAACAAATCATAGATCAACACACAACTTGTAAACAACTTCACAACTTAACTACAACATGCATCTCCAACAACCTCATTAATAAATATTTAATCATATATTAGCAACACACAATATTTTCATCACATAATACAATCCATACTAATCAACCTAAGTACCCAAATGAGTTCCAAACTCACATATACAACCAACAACTATACAATCTAGCTTCCCTTACCTGAAGATTGGCTCAAAATAGCCAAGAAGCGGAATTCCCTTTTCGAAGCTTAACCCGAAACTTCAATCCACCCAAAGCAAGCTTCCTAGTCCAGAGTCCTTCTCTCTAAAAACCTCCATTTCTCTTCAACCATCCAACTCTATTTATAGACATTCAGGAGTGGCCAGAACGGCCTGTTCCGAATTCGGAACGGCCCGTTCTGCACCCCTTTATCATGTGTAAAAATCACATGCAGAACGGCCCGTTCCAGAACGGTCTGTACTCCCTCCAAAATGGCCCGTACTCCATCCAGAACGGCCCCCGTACTGTCCAATCAATTCTTTTTCTAATGGTTACCATTGTACGGTCCAATATATTTATTTTAATATAACCCTAGTTGTGACATAATAATATATGATAATATCATATTTAAGAAGGATAGTTACTACTTAGGATTTAATGAATACATACATTTTAAAAAGTTATTTACTGTAATTAATAAGTTTGTTAATTTTCATAATAATTATTTTAAAGTCATATAATTAATAATTTTTATCAGGTAATTCTTTTACACCGATAATTTATCATCATTAAACTCAAATACTTAATATAACTGAGATAAGATTGGTTATTCAAACTTTGGATGCAGCAGTCAAATATGTCATAAAATGTTAAGATAATGAAACGAGAAAACCAACTTAGTTGTCGGAATGTGTTTTTGGAGTGTTCTCCATTCATATGAATTCAGAGAACGATATTTACCCAAACAAATATTAGAGAGAAAGACAAACAAGATTTGAAGACGTTTCTTTATTCAGAATTGGTCATGACATTTTGTGAGTTGAAAGAGATATAAAATCTTAATATATAATTATTTTTAAAATTAAATATGTATTATATATATATATATAAAATAAACGTGTAATTTTAATTAAAAAATAAATGTACTTTTTTACACGATGTGAACAAGATTTTTAACAAATCTTAATAATATGTATTATTTTTTTCTTCTTTCAAAATATTTTTATGTTATCTTTTATCATCAACAAAATATGTTCTCTAAAATTTTTGTATTATGCATTAGCAACAAAACAGATGATTTATCATAAGTGTCGTTTATAATTTAGTATGTAAAAAATGTAATCTTCTTTTATATTTTATATATTTTTATGTTGAAAAAAAATTATTTTTGTTATCACTAATTTAGGAAATGATAAAAGTTTATTTTTAATTTCTTAGAAAAAAATAAATGTTTAATCTATTAAAAATTTAGAATTTGTAATTAATTAATTTAAAATTCAAAAAGAGAAAAAAACTAAAAATAGAATTACTAATAATACACTCTTTTAAACATTATCTAATTGATTGAAATTACTAAAAAAATATAAAATTTGATAAGTCTCACATAATAGCTGTCTTTCTTTTGATTAATTATCCTTCGTCAATGCGAGTTAAAATAAAAGACCTCGTAACCCCAAGCGTGTGGTTCAGCAGTAGGGGTTGATCCACGCTTAAGCAAGGTCAGGGGTTCGAATCCTGCCTTGTGTATGCAGCCGCGTTAAATCTTGGGGCCAGCTATCCCACCCTTTGAGGTGCCTCCAACGTAGCGAGGTGATTAGTCACTACTATCAGCGGTGGATACTCTAAGGACGAACCAAAAAAAAAAATCAATAAAATTATATATGGTAAGAAGAGTGTGTTGAAAAATATGTTAATAGCACTCAATTGAAAAATTAACATTAATTATTAGGTTTTGTTTTTGAAAAATTAGAACTTTATTTTATCTTTAAGCTCCTAGCAATGATGAGTCCAGAGCAGTTACCCATTTTTTCTTACCTGAGAGCTTGCCATGCTGTTTATCTTGGGGAAGAAGTACTATATTTTTGTAAGTACATTATTGGCATCCATGCACCGAAGATTTCAATCCTACGATATATCCATTTTATGATTCATATAACAAAAGGTTATTGCTAAGATGAAGTATAATTGGATAATGCACAGGTTTCACTATAAATCGTTTGAAATAATAATTTTATAAAGTGTTTTAAACATAATTTAAAACATGCTGGGCAATATAATCCTTTTTCCCAATGGCTATATTATACATCAGTACTTCATCAATTACCCACGCCTTGTATGACAAAAGTTATTTTTCTTAAACATTTTTTTAAGGTTTTATCAAACATTAATATCTAAATTATTTTACTTTTTAAATGTCATTGAGTTTCGAATTTTGAGGAGGCTACGAGACTTCCGTTTATCCTTTTATTCTAATTAGATGATATATAAAATTCTTATAATTATTGTTATTTATCACACTAGAAATGACATAAACACCAAACAACCTTCGTAACTAAACCTTTCATCTCAGTAAAACGAGAATTTATTAGATTGTTTAGAATTATTACGTGACTATGGATTCAATCAATTATTATATAAAATGTATTTAAAATTTTTAATTTATGAAAAGAAATTAATAACACTTGATACATGTTATATTGTTAAGATACAGGTTAAATTTTACATCGTTCAAATAAAAAAAATAAACATGAATTTATACATACATATATGTCACTATTATTAAAAGGCATTTTGGGTGACATTTAAAAGTGAAATTGTGAGGACTTAGATCTAAAGTGAATAATATATTTGTCATTGAAGAGATATGTGTGTGTGATCACCCTGGTGTACAACAATGTATTAGAGTCAATGGTCAACTAGGTGACCGACCGGTTCAACAAGTATGATAGAGTTGGTTGGTAGATCTAAGTATAATTAAGATCTCTTATTTCAAAAGTCTTCCTAAAAGTGGGTCAATGTGGAGGAGAGTCTTTTTGGTAACATGAATGGTTAAGAGATGTGTCCTAATATCGTGAGTTAATGATGAAACGATGATGCAAGTATTTAAAGTGTAATTGAGCTCTATGGCCTACCATTAGATAATACTCATGAATTAGCTTCCGTTACAAGGAGGTAGATCCTTTGTTTGAGGGAAGATCGTTGAAATATAAGTAAAGTCTCACATCGTTTTCAAACAAAAAAGACATGAATTAATTTATATACACACATATGTTTCCATTGTTGAGAGACTTTTTGACCGATGTCCAAAAATAAAATTATAAGGATTTAAGTTCAAATCAAATAATATCTTATTATTGTAGAGACATGAGTAGTCACCTCAATACACAACACTTATAGAGACTAATTAGAAATTTTGTGCTTGAAAACCACCTAATAATTTCTCCACCAAAACACACAAGCACCAAACTAAGTCTCATTATTGACAAGTCGTTATAACGTGCTATAGGCTGAGACTTAGTAAGAATTACAATTAATACACACAACAAACACGATAACTAAAGAAAAAAAAACTCAAAGGTTTTAAGGTCCCACAATCAAGAGGTTCTAAGGTTCCATAATCAAGAGTTTTTAAGGTTCCACAAGCCAATTAGTACTGAATATCACTCCATTTCTTGCTATTGACTCTTTGTCTCATCATCCATCATATTGGAGCTTCTCTTTCTCTAGTTGATTGATTAGTTGCTCTAACACCTTCAAATACTTGCTTGTCATATGATCAAGTATCATCCCTCTTGAAAGTCTGAGCTTTCCATACAGTTGTCTAGGTGTTTCATATAAGTAGACATGTTTCTCAAGATCATGATGGTTTGAATTAGAATTTGCAAATAAAGATGCAGGGATAATATGCATGATCCTTCCTGGAGGATAAAGAGGATGTGTACCTGAGTTGTCTGAACTTGTTGGGACTACGCCAACACTTTCTTCGATATGAACAACTTGGTCATTGAATCTCTCTTCTTCAGTGATGTCTTTGGTCATGGCTTCTTCTTTTTCCTTGGCATGAACACTAGGGATATCATCTTGTGTCTCTAGTTCAATGTCCTTAAATTGATTCAACAATTCATCGTCAGAGATAGTGGGAGTAGTAATTTTCTGAGCAGCAGATATGATTTGTTCCTCTTCATCATCAAGGTCAGATCCTTCACTAGAGGATTTAGATCCATCTTCATCACTTGTATACTCTGAGATTATTATCTCTTCAACAACTTCATAATTTGTATTGGTTGGTCGTGAAGCTTCTGCCAAGTTATCTGATTTAGAGTTTGACAATACAACATTGTTCTCACGTCGAGACGAAAGTAATAGTGAGCGAGTTCTTCGTTTATGCTTCATCACAACCTTCATGTGTAAAGAAAGATATCTAGTAAGATAATTAAAATATCTATATTATATGAAAATTTTGTGGGGAAAATTAGATGTATAATGATAAAAATGGCCAAAATAGTATGCGTGTTAAAATTTGTATATTATATGAAAAATAATTTGTATGCAAAGTAGATATATAATTATAAAAACTGCAACAACCGTTGCTTTTGCATGTTACGATTAATGGATAAATGTATAGTTTCTTCATATTATGTATGGTTGATAACTGCATGATGAAACTCTTTAGTGTAGTGAATGTGATGTCAAACATAAACAAGGGAAGCTTGAATATTCTACCTGGGTGCCACGGGATATTGTACGATCTGCGATGGCTTTCGCACTAGATGCAAATGGTATATGAGATCCAATTGCAGTTATGAATTTTTTGCGCTTAATTCGACCCTGTAAATATTCGATCAATATTATATGTAGTGAACAATCTAATAAAAGCTAACTAGAGTAAAACACAAATCATTTTCTAACGGATAACATTATAGAAAATATAATTAAGCAATTAACATAATTTAACATTTGTTAAAGCTATCTTAGTTACTAATTTGAGCACCTCAACAATGAAGTCATGAACAGAAAAAGCTGACAGTGTAGGCACCATGTCATAACCATTTATAATGGAAGTGATAAAAGGCTTTCCGAATTCCGCTAACTCGAATGACATACATGCAGCTGCAAAAATTACAATCGTCAAACAAAAACTTAGCAATTATGATTGTAAGGTCTTTATTGGGATAATTAAGTTGAGTTTTTTCTTATAAGTTAAAATTAATTTATATATAACTTTAATAGGAATTCTTTTTCACTTTAAATTTTCAAAATATTCGGAAACGGATTCTTACGCACGTGATATGCAATATTTTTATTCAGCAAGTTATATTTACAGTAACATACACTACAAGAAATGTTATATATAATGACATATAAAAAATGTCACTATAGGTACAATATACGTAAGTATATATCTATTTGACATATAGTTACACACAATTTTAGTGTTGATTTTGAATAAGATTTAATAATATATTTTGTGGGTCACTATAGCTTATACCCACACTTTTTAATAATATACCAACATATATTGTAATTTTTGTGTGGGTAAAAATAATTTTTAGTGACATGTATAGTATTACTATAGGGTGTCCACATCGGTTAGGAAGGCGAACGAAGCATGCCATATATATGGGTGTGGATACCTTCCTTGTGAGGAGGCCTTTTGGGGTGGCATGCGTGTCATCGCCAAGAGCAAAACCGTGCGGCCGTGGGCCAAAGCGGACAATATCCTCATGCGGGTTGCTTGGGCTGTTACATTGGTATCAGAGCCGGTTCCCGGATCGGTGTGCCAGCGAGGGCGCTGGACTCCCTTGAGGGGGGGTGGATATAGTCCCACATCGGTTAGGAAGGCGAACGAAGCATGCCATATATATGGGTGTGGATACCTTCCTTGTGAGGAGGCCTTTTGGGGTGGCATGCGTGTCATCGCCAAGAGCAAAACCGTGCGGCCATGACAATTTTCTTGTAAAGATAGATTCGAACGTACAAGTGACATGCAGTATTGAGAAATTTTGTTGATACCTATTTTATATTTACCGGAAGAAAGATGGAATAAATTTTCTAACACAACTTTGTCGTATTGAAATTCAATATGAAAAGATTTTTTCCCAATAACATTTTCATATCCCAAGCTACTTGGGATTTCCAAAAAAAAAATTTATTTTTTCAGAATGATGTAAAAAAAATATTATCTTCTCCACCTAGCTACCCAAAATTTGAGTTTGTCGTATACTACAACTACATCTTTAGTATCAGTTTAACACACTATTAGTAAAAAACCATTGAATTAGTAACTCAATCTCGAACAAATTAAAACTTCATATGTAAATTAAAGAAGTTAGTATAAGCACATGCCTGGGCCAAACGTGACACAGGTGCATGAAGAGAACTGCTTTATTTCTCTAAGCATAAATGTCAAGAGTGCAGCAGTACCACCACCAAGCGAGTGCCCAACGACCTATGGAAATTAAGATTATTATAATTATGTTATAACTATATGAAAAAAATGTCAAATATAGGTTGAGTTACATTATTAAATGAAAAGAATGCATAATTTTAATTTATAAATTGTTGAAGCAAGAATTTTGCAATTGAAGTGAAAACATACGATTAAAGTTAGGAATAAATTAAAGAAATAAAATGAATAAGGGAGTACAGTAGTTTTTCCAATTTTTCATTAATGGGTGAACATGATGATGAAAATACCATAGAATATTATAATTATTTCATTAGTTGATTTATTTTTTATTGAATTAAGTTTATAATTTATTTTTTAAAAAAATATATTAGACCTAATGCTAACAATTTTTTATTGGACTTATTAGATTAACTATCTGTTAATAGATCATTATCAAATTATATGTAGATTTATAATCTTATAAATTTTGTATTTAAAATATCTAATGTGTGAAAGAGTGTATTAGAAATTTGACATTAATTAATTAAACAAACAAAATAAATATGCAAATGAGAAACAATTCCATTCTTATCTATTAATTTTATAGGATTGAGATATACTTATATCTTCTTGAAAACCAATGGTATTCCTGTAGAAAATAAGAGAGACAAGTGATACTAATATTGTGTGAACGTAGCAACTCACTGTGTATTTCATTGAATAAGAGATGACCTTTAAATAGCTATTGTACAACATACCGAATTAATCAAGACGATAACAAAATATCTTATCAAAACAGATCTTATAAAAAACTATCTTATCTAAAATGAAACAAACAACTCAAAAGAGAAAACAGATAAACTAACTCGGATATCCCTAAAATTTAAGATTATCTAACAAAACTCCCCCATAAGCTTAAATTTCTCCTTCTTCTTTCATTCCGAGTAACTTCCTTAACTCCTGAAACGTTGTTGCAGGCAATGATAGCTCCACCATTTGTCTTCGCTTTCTGTGACACCTTCGTGTGTTCGACAGCGTGCAATGCTTGATGTGTTCTTTCACTTCTTTTGGCGTCTAATTTGCCTGATTCCATGATCAAACCGTGCATGGCTGCATGCCTCAAAAAATGATGCTAACATATATTTTGTTCTATTTGAAGGTTATTTTTTATACAAGAAATCAGACATAAACAAGAATAAATAGCAAAGAATAAGAACAAAATTTGTTACATTTGGTCTCTTTTGATTGCTTGGAATTCCCAAGATCTTCAATTTTTGTTGTAGATGTCTTCCCACTAACTGAAAACATGAGGATGTTGATGAACAAAAAGAACTATAGAAGTAGTGTTCTGGTCATATTTTGAATTTGTTTAGAAGTTAATAGAGGTGGTAAGTGATTGGCAGAGAGAGTAAAGTTTGCTTTGGGCGAGGCATTTGAATTAGTAGAAACTTTATTATATATATATAAAGATTTTCTTACTGTTTAAGACCAATTAATTCTAAAGAGTAAAGATGCTTTCTAGCAGTGTTAGAATTGCTACTATGCTTGATGCCCTATAACGGGAATATATGTTTTTACGTGCACATGCTTGCTTTGATTAATCTATTACTTTGGCAAAAGTACTGTCTTCTCTGACCTTAATCCAGCTAGCATGGTTTCTTTTAAAAGGGAACATAGCATGATGACAGAAAGTAAACGAACATAGACATTGTCAGGTTAAAAAAGAAAAAAGAACCTTCTATAGTTCTTTTTGTTCATCAACATCCTCATGTTTTCAGTTAGTGGGAACACATCTACAACAAAAATTGAAGATCTTGGGAATTCCAAGCAATCAAAAGAGACCAAATGTAACAAATTTTGTTCTTATTCTTTGCTATTTATTCTTGTTTATGTCTGATTTCTTGTATAAAAAATAACCTTCAAATAGAACAAAATATATGTTAGCATCATTTTTTGAGGCATGCAGCCATGCACGGTTTGATCATGGAATCAGGCAAATTAGACGCCAAAAGAAGTGAAAGAACACATCAAGCATTGCACGCTGTCGAACACACGAAGGTGTCACAGAAAGCGAAGACAAATGGTGGAGCTAATAACGTTAAAGATCACAAAGGGAAGAATAGCACAAACACCAACTCTATCAAATCTTCATACTTGTTCATTCCCGTAACGCTTCTGGTTGGTTACTTCTTTTGAATTTCAAAGCTTCAAATTATCTCTTGTCTAGTGAAGGTACAACTAGTGATGCTTAATTACGTGATGTGTTAGTATCCTACTTTGGATTTGTATCGTACAGATGTTCCTGCTATTCTATTAGTTTGTGTGCTGCAAGATTTGATCTAATACATTTTACTGGAAAGAAATATAAATCCTGCAAATCCCATATAAATTAATGAATTCATATCTGATTCATTTAAATATAAAAATAAAATTAAAAACTAATGGTTGTTAAAAAATAAGCATGATTTTTTTTGCTGTATTATGAGGATAGCATGGACTTCTATAATGATGCATGATTCCTTATATCTAGTTATTCTTTGTCTGTGAATCTACCATGATCATGGAAGCAATTGTTTTTAGCCTTCAATTACTTGTAAATTATGATAATTTCCATGCCCTTTTACCGCCACCTTGGAATCATCCCCAAATAACACGAATCCAGCTTTCACCTTGATGAGTTCGTTGAAGAAACTTTCTTCTCCACACATATGATTGCTCGCTCTAGTTTCCAAATACCATATCGAGTTGTTTAAGCAACCCGAATCAAGCTCGGCCTCTGACTTCTCATCTGAGCTTGGAAGCTCAACTGCTGATCTCTCCACGCAACTCAAGTTTAGCTCAACCTTGGAGGCACAACTCGGACGTAGCTTGGTCTCCGAGCTTTGCGTGATCATCAAAATTCCTGCTTCCTCGTCCTCTTCTTCTGTGAGAAGATTCTTCTCTTTCTTTTCACTTCGGATTTTAACTCGGCAATACTTTGCTATGTGACCGTATTTGCCATAGTTGTAGCAATTTTCTGATCTACATTCCTTTGCGTAGTGGCCGTGTTTGCACTGTGAGAAGATTCTTCCCTTTTTCTTCACTTCGGCTTTTAGCTCGGCAATACTTTGCTATGTGACCGTATTTGCCACAGTTGTAGCAATTTGCCGATCTGCATTCCTTTGCGTAGTGGCCGAGTTTGCCACACTTATAACATTCCACCTCGGACCTCGGCTGACTTCCTTGGCTACGATCACCTCGTCCTTGTCCACCTCCATGGTCACCTCGTCCTCGACCTCGTCCTTGATCACCTCCATGATCACCTCGTCCTTTGCCTCGTCCTCCATGATCACCTCGTCCTTGTCCTCCTGATCTTCGGCCCTGAGTGTTCCGAGTTTCATTCAAATCAAGTTGCGCCTGTAATGCTTGATCAAGAGTATTCTTCATCTTCCTCCTCCTTTGTTCGTGGGCTTCGAGTGACCCAGCGAGCTCTTCCACTGAGAGAACTGACAAGTCCTTTGACTCCTCAATTACGCATGCAATACTCTCGAAATCATCTGTTAATGATCTCAAGATTTTCTCCACAATTCTACTTGCTGGCATTGGCTCCCCATTCCTTCCTAGTTGGTTAGCCACCTTCTCCACCCGAGTTATGTACTCGGATACTTGTTCCTTATCCTCCATCTTCAAACTCTCAAACTCTCCTCGGAGAGTTTGAAGTCGGATCTGTCTGACACGGTGGTTACCTCTGTGCGCAACCTCTAAGATCTTCCATGCTTCCTTTGAAGATGCAGCGTTTGCAATCTTCTCGAAACCTGACTCATCCACGGCATTGTACAAAAAATACAAAGCCGATTTGTCCTTTACTCGTGTCTTTTCCAATGTGGCAATCTGAGCCACAGATTGGTCTTCGTCCTCCTCGGGTTCTTGGAACCCCTTCTCCACTATGTCCCATAGACTTTGGGAACCCAACAGGGTCTTCATCTGTAAACACCAATTATCATAATTGATTTTCTTTGACAGTTGTGGTACGGTCATTCCATTAACAACCTTTGTCATCACTCTCTGTTTCTTTTTTTTCAAAACACACACAGGCGCACACTGTTTTTCCTCTCACACTCGGCACTCAGAGCATAAAGCTCTGATACCAATTTGTAGAAAATAAGAGAGACAAGTGATACTAATATTGTGTGAACGTAGCAACTCACTGTGTATTTCATTGAATAAGAGATGACCTGTAAATAGTCATTGTACAACATACCGAATTAATCGAGACGATAACAAAATATCTTATCAAAACAAATCTTATCAAAAACTATCTTATCTAAAATGAAACAAACAACTCAAAAGAGAAAACAGATAAACTAACTCGGATATCCCTAAAATTTAAGATTATCTAACAATTCCAAGATACTTTAACATGCTAACAATACCTTGATTTGGAAACCAGGGTTTTGAAGAAGAGCATCGAGTAGTTTTGGAGTGCAGCGTTCTTTAATCCAACGAGCTGCAGCAACCATACCACGGTGTCCATGTCCTGAAACCATGTTGCTCCTCTTCAGCACACCATCACTGCAAATGAAGTGCTTGAAGGACACGGGGGCACCGATTGCATCTGTTAACGTGTCTTTTAGGCTACGAGTTCCACGGATGAACACCAACAAACATTTTGATTCTCTATCACGTATAACTGTGAAAGCTGGCTTTAGAATCTGACAAAAAAAAATATTCTTCAGTCAAACTGCATGCATGGCTACAAAATTATCTCCTGAAACACTTGCGGCTGAAAGTAAGATGCAATGCAAGGTTATACGCATGCATCTTTAAATAACAAGTTCTATTAATTACTAGAACCAATGTTATGTTTGTTCTTTAAACAATACAAGTTTAAACTTTTTATTCTTTTTAACCACTGATAAGATATTTCTTGCAATAGTGGGGAAAAATTATAAGAAACTGAACGTACGTACCCGAGCTCTTCTCTTCCTTAGGAGGACATCTTCCTTGGTAAATCCAGCAACAGATAAAAAGGCACGAAACCTTGTTTTGCTGAAAAGCATGGTCCGTGTCAAGCATTTTTTGAGCTCATATAAGTCCTTCAACATTTCGGGGTCCTTCAGTTGTATACAATCAGTTCTTTCATCACATTCCATTGCAACTGTTTTCTTACGCTACAATACAATTGTCACACTCCAATAATTAAGGATAAGGACAGTCCACTTTGACATTAATTAAGAACCAAGAATTTGCATGCGCGCACACACACACTGCAACATCATTATTAAATGGAAATGTAAGTACCTTGTCGGTGATAGAGTAAAGGATTGCTCTTGGTAAGTCTAAGAGGTGCCACTTGCCAAGTGTCTCGGCATAACCAAACCTCATGGCTTCTGCTAAGGTGAGCACTATGTCACTCAAACTTTTGGGTGCCTCAGCTGGCCTCCGTTCCAGCTTCCCTGCAGCACCCCTAAGCACTTTCGACAACAACATTTTTGGCAACAAGAAAGGAAAATGAAACAACAAAGAAGATAAAGATAATCCTTCAAGTTGGAGTCTCAGCGTACTGCATGCAAAGGAGAATGTCACCTCATTTATAGGACAGTGAGTGACACGATCGACAACCTTGGTTTTACTTTAAAAAATTTGTAACTACCAAACAATGAAACAAAATTGATTTTTCTAGGCAAAATCGAATCTCGAGACCATTTAATCCATAAAATATGAGACACCATCATATAGTTTAAATCAACTCTCCATTCCATGCAATAGCAACATTTTTTTTAAAGTTGACGAGACCTTTTCCTTTGTATCTTTAGGTCATCGATGATACTTATTTTACTGAATTAAGACGTGAAATTATACAGGCAATATTAACGCGTCAGTGATTCGAGACCGATTAATGAAATTGGATTTTTTGAATAAAGTTTTGAATTTAAATCTTATTTATAGATGAGAAAACGTGATTAAAATATAGAAATTTCACTAAAATGGTCAGTTAAATATCTAATAAAAATTATCATTAATAAAATTATTAGATATTTTTTTTTTATGAATTTAGAAGATATTTTGTATTACTAATATAATTATGAAAAAAAAACACTGCTATTTAGAATGAATAATTGATGCACGAAGTAATAGGAAAACAGGTGGGCAGTGATGATTAGAAACTTTAAAGTAAATAAATATTAAAATAAGTTGAAATCAAGAAATATTCTGATGGTCACAATTTATTCGTCAACTTTCATGCAAATTTTTTTGTACTATTTATCGATCATTATCCTAAAAAAAAGACATGAAATTTTGGAGGGATATAGCGATATTTATAATAACATGCAGTTTTACTATATATTCTATGATTAATAGAGAAGAGAAGATAAGATGAAAAGTGTACATAATACAACATAAAATAAGTTTATTTAGCAGAATAGACAAAGATAAACAGTTATAATAGAATTAGGTAATAATAAAATTGGATAAGAATATGAATTGATATTTAAAAAAAAATAACTCTAATACATTCCTCTTAATACATTTACCCTCATTTGTTAAAATTTATTATAAACTACAAAATAGGAGACAATCCTATTTAAGTTGAGTATAATTAATATATAGACAACAAAACTTTCATTCCAAATATTCAACATAGCTACTACATACTTAAAATTCAAACTTGTTGAGATAAAAAAAAAATAAAGATATTTAACAAACTAGTAGAGAAAAGTTGAAAAATTCAAAAACTAGGTAAAATCTAAAATCCAAAAATAAAGAATGGCAAAGAAACGCATGGAGGATAACAAAAGTGACGGTATAATAAACAACAGTTTCATTATTTAAGTAAAAATGATATATATATATATATATATACTATTATATTTAATTATTTAAAACATACAAATATTAAATATATTTCAAAATTAAAAGAATAACTTAATTACCTGATTTTTATGTTAAATATTTTATGGTGGAAATGAATCTGGCTAATTTCAATAAGAAAATAATGCATTATTATTAAGGTTGACGAGGCTTCCTTTTTTCTTGGGTCGTAGTTCTTGTTTTATTGAGTTAAAAAAAAATCTACTTGCATTACAAGAAATACTATATATAATAAAATATAAAAAGTGTCTATTTGACATATAGTTACATATAATTTTAATGTTGATTTTGAATGAGATTTAACAACATATTTTGTGTGTCACTATAACTTATATTAACACTTTTAACAATATATTTAATGTCGACTGTGTGTTGATTACCGGCAGCTGAACAAGTTGACCATTAAGAACAAATATCCACTTCCCCGGATAGATGATTTAATGGATCAATTGAAGAGAGCATCGATATTCTTTAAGATTGACTTGAGGTCAGGATATTACTAGATCAGGATGAAGGAAGGTGACATACCTAAGACCGCTTTCAGGACTAGGTATGGTCACTATGAATATGTTATGATGCCGTTTGGTGTGACCAACGCCCCGACAGTGTTCATGGATTACATGAACAGGATCTTCCGGCCCTTTTTGGATGAATTTGTGGTGGTGTTTATTGATGACATCCTTATTTATTCAAGGACCCTAGATGAGCATGGAGAACAGTTGAGGTTGGTGTTGGAGATTTTGAAGGCAAAACAATTGTATGCCAAGCTGTCTAAGTGTGATTTCTGGTTAGAAGAGGTGAAGTTCTTGGGCCATGTTATTTTAGCTGAGGGGATTGTTGTGGATCCGGCTAAGGTGGAGTCGGTGTTGCAGTGGGAGCATCCAAGAACTGTCACAGATATTCAGAGTTTTGTGGGTCTAGCGGGTTACTATAGGAGGTTCATTGAGGGATTCTCCAAGATAGTAGCGCCTCTAACCCAGTTGACAAGAAATGATCAGCCTTTCATTTGGACAGATGCTTGTGAGCGAAGCTTTGAAGAGCTGAAGAGGAGGTTGACTACTTCTCTTGTGTTGGTGTTGCCTAACTCTGGTGAGCCCTTTGATGTGTATTGTGATGCTTCTCACCAGGGATTGGGGTGTGTGCTGATGCAGAATAGGAAAGTAGTGGCATATGCTTCAAGGCAACTGAAGAACAATGAGAGGAATTATCCTACTTATGACTTGGAGTTAGTAGTAGTTATTTTTTCCTTGAAGATATGGAGACATTATTTGTATGGTGCTCAGTTCAGCGTCTTCAGCGATCACAAGAGTCTGAAGTACCTGTTTGATCAGAAGGAGCTGAACATGAGGTAGAGATGGTGGATGGAATTTCTGAAAGATTATGACTTTCAACTGATGTATCACCCTGGGAAGGCCAATGTTGTGGCGGATGCGCTGAGTAGAAAATCCATCCACATTTCTCGTATGATGGTGAAAGAGCTGGAGCTGGTGGAGGAATTCAGAGATTTGAATCTCTATGTGGAGTTAGCTCAGGATCACATTAGTTGTGGGATGACTATCATAACTAGTGAGTTCTTGAGGCATGTTAGATTGAAGCAGTTGCAGGATGTAGAGCTGGTGAAGATTCTTGGTTTGCTGGGTACCAAGAAGGCAGTGAGTTTTGACTTGGGTAGAGATGGGATCTTGAGGTTTAAGGGCAAAATTTGCCTACCTCATGATTCTGAGCTGAAGAAAGTTGTGATGGAGGAAGGCTACAAGAGTAGACTTAGCATACATTCTGGTATGACTAAGATGTACCAAGACCTCAAGAAGACTTTTTGGTGGTCTGGTATGAAGAGAGACATTGTTGAATATGTGTGGTGGCCTGTCTGACTTATCAAAAGGCAAAGGTGGAGCATCAGAAGCCGAGTGGTTTGATGCAGCAGATGGAGATTCTGGAATGGAAGTGGGATAGTATCACTATGGATTTCATTATGGGATTGCCTAGGTCTGCTAGGAATAGTGATGCTATCTGGGTGATTGTTGATCGGTTGACCAAGTGTGCACATTTCTTGCCTGTCAACATCAAGTGGTCCTTGGAGAAGTTGATACAGTTGTATGTGAGGGAAATAGTACGGTTGCACGGGGTGCCTTCCAGTATTATTTCAGACAGAGATCTGAGGTTCACTTCCAGATTTTGGCAGAGTCTACATCAAGCCTTAGGCACAAAGTTGAGGTTGAGTTCTGCTTATCATCCACAGACGGATGGTCAGTCAGAGAGGACAATTCAGTCCTTGGAGGATTTGTTGAGGCTTGTGTGTTAGACCACTTGGAAAGTTGGGAGGAAGTCCTACCGTGGTGGAGTTTACGTACAATAATAGCTTTCATGCTAGTATTGGGATGGCACCGTTTGAAGCCCTGTATGGTAGGAGGTGTAGGACTCCTCTGTGCTGGTATCAAGATGGTGAGTTAGTGGTTGTGGGGCCGGAACTGATCCTATAGACTACTGAGAAGGTGAAGCTGATTCAAGAGAGGATGAAGACTACTTAGAGTAGGCAGAAATCATATGTTGACAAAAAGTGAAAGCCTTTGAAGTTTGTTGAAGGGGAGCATGTGTTTTTGAAGGTGATCCCAACCTCTAGTGTGGGAAGGGCGTTGAAGGCAAAGAAGTTGACACCTAGGTTTGTTGGTCCCTATCAGATCATCCATCGTGTGGGTCCAGTCGCTTATCGGTTGGCTTTTCCACCGTCTCTCTCAAACCTACACGATGTGTTTCATGTATCCCAGCTGAGGAAGTATGTTCATGACCCTGGTCATGTGGTTGAGTTGGATGATGTGCAGGTGAAGGAGAATCTGACTTTTGAGAAGTCGCTTGTAGCTGTAGTTGACTTCAAGCTAAAAGAGTTGAAAGGCAAGTCTATTGGCTTGGAGAAAGTGTTGTGGGATGCATCTATTGGTGAAGCTACTTGGGAAGTTGAGCAGCAGTGCAGGGAGCGATACCCTTTCCTATTCCCAAGTAAGTCTATTTTCGAGGACGAAAATTCCTGTTGTTGGGGAGGTTGTGAGACCCCACTTCCGTTTTCCTTTTTCTTCTCCCAACCTTCATCACTCTCACTCTCATTTTCCTTTCCTCTCAAGCCCTTAACCCTTGTTGCTGATTTCCTTTCTCTCTAGCTGAAGCAATGGACACCTAGGGGTTGAAATCCTCAAACGTGAAGCCGTGCGGAGCTTTCTTTTCTCCTTCTTCTCCATTCAAGCTTCTACATCCATTTCTCCACTTCCCGAAAGCTTGGATTTCTTCTCACCGAGGTAAGGGAAGCTAGATTAGTGCTGTTTATTGAGAATGAGTTTAGAAAATCATGAGATGTTTGATGTTGGACGATTTAGGGGCTAATTTGGTGGAAAACGTGTTTTCGGGGTTTTGGGTGAAAATTTGGGGTTTTTGATGATTTATGGTTGCATGTTGAAAAAGCTGTGATTTTTTAGATGTTTGGTGAAAATGTGGAGTTTTGGATGGTTTGCATGTGCTTGGGCTGTTTGATTTTTCAGGTTTTGATGAAAATTTTCGAAGTTTGGGGGTTGTTGTGTGCTAGTGCGCCGGGCGTAGTTATTGGCGCCGGGCGTAGTTATTGGCGCCGGGCGTGTGTTCATCAGGGGGCTCCATTGGTCGAGCACGCCAGGCGTAAGGTTGGTTGCGCCTGGCGAGCTTGGGAATAGAGGTCTCTGAATGGCTCACGTCGAGCGTGGGAGAACCAAGCCAGGCGTGATATCAGATAGGGACTCACATTTTTTGGGTTCTAGTATGGCGCCAGGCGTGATTTGGTCTCGCCTGGGAGTCTTTGCTAGAGGTGGCGCAGGGCGCAAT